CTAATAACGTGAGGAAAAAGAGGGACGAGGATGAGGAGGGAGGAGGAAGAGGAGGAGGAGGAGGAGGAGGAGGAGGAGTTTGAGGAAGGGAGGAGGAGGAGGGAGGAGGAGGGACGAGGAGGAGGAGGAGAAGGAGTGAAGAGAAGGAGGGAGGAGGGAGGAGGGAGCAGGGAACAGGGAGAAGGGAGCGGGGAGGAGAGAGAGCAGGAAGAAGGAAAGAGGGAGGGGAGAGGAGAGGAGGGAGGGAGGGAGGGAGGGAGGGGGAGGGAGGAGGAGGGAGGAGGGAGGAGGGAGGAGGGAGGAGGAGGAGGAGGAGGAGGAGGAGGAGGAGGAGGAGAAGGAGGAGGGAGGAGGAGGAGTGACGAGGAGGAGGAGAAAAAAGGAGTGACGAGAAGGAGGAGGGAGGGAGGAGGGAGCAGGGAGCAGGGAACAGGGGCGGGGAGGAGAGAGCAGGAAGAAGGAAAGAGGGGAGGGGAGAGGAGGGAGGGAGGGAGGGAGGGAGGGAGGGGAGGAGGAGGAGGGAGGAGGAGGGAGGAGGAGGAGGAGGAGGGGAGGGAGGAGGAGATGCAAGGGGGGTCGCAGGCGTCCGCCGCCCGCCCGGAGGGGGGGGCGGGGCCTCGAAGGGGGCGCCCTGCCGCCCCCGCCGAGGCTCTTCCAGCCCATCGAGCCTGGCGGAGGGAGGGGGGAGGACGCGCGGCAGGAGGTGGAGGGGGGGGGGGGGGCAGGCCATGCGCGACGACGTAAGGGCTCAGCTCTGAGCCGAACCTTCATGTGTGTGAATGACTGCTGCAGTTGGTATTTGCAGTGGCCGTGCAGATTGGTGTCCTAAACACGGCCTTTTACAACGTCAGGAGCTGAACATTCATCGTGCTGCTGCGCCAAACATGCAACTGGGATGCGCATACATCTCCCAGGTCACCAAATCCGTCACCGTCCCCTGGCACTCTGAGGCGTGGTAAAATGCCGTGCAGGTTTTAAGGAGAAATCTTCTCAGAGGCCCCTACCCCTCTCATCACCTTCAATTACGCCCACCGCCCCCCCTCCCTCCCGAAGCTCCCTGAACCGCCCCGACGCCTGCCCTGACGCGCGCAGAGGTTCTCAGAGGCCTCCTCGACGGCCGGGGAAGGCCGCCACGGCCGCCTAGATGGCCCAACCTTGCCTCAAAATGCAGCCAACAGCTCCCAAGAAGCGCCAGATATAGAAGTAGACTGTGTATGTATATATAAAGAGACATAGACATATACACTTTATATTTACACATACGCATCTTGATCCAGGGCTCCGCGCCCGCCCCCTCCTTCCCCCCAATGCTATGGGATCGGGCCACCACTGCTGGATGGGTACGCCCGTGAGCCTCGCGAAGGCTTCGCAAATACACCCTGCGAAATGCTTAAGAAATCATGGGTTAAGAAATTCATAGTCTCAGAAATTGAATGTAACCCAGAACTTCTATCAAAATCTTGTCTATCAAAATCTTGGGATTTACATTGGAAAATTAGAATAATCGAGACTCTGGACGAAAACTTAGGTTTTCTTAAGCATCGCCTAAGGTGTAGGAGCTCCCCACCCTGTGGTCGTGGCCCTGTGGGCGTGGCATTCTGGAGGGGCGTGCCGGCGCCCCCGCCCCTCCCACTGTGGGTGTGGGGTGCCGTCGTCGTCGTCGTCGTCGTCGTCGGCGGCGTCGTCGTCGTCGTCTTCGCCTTCGTCGTGATCGTGATCGTGATCGTGATCGTGATCGTCGTCGTCGTCGTCGTCGTCGTCGTCGTCGTCGTCGTCGTCGTCGTCGTCGTCGTCCCACCCCCCCATCCCACCCAGGGGAGAGGGCCTGCGGAACCCTGGGACCCATTCCATCTTGGGAGGGGGCCTGTGAGCCATCGACCAGGGATCATACATCCCGAGAAGCCTCCAGGAGGAGCACAGACACCCCAAAGACGCTTTCCAGGAGGCCCTCGAGAGGTCAACAAGATTGCTTCCCGAACGCCTTTGACTATGTGTCGCTCCCCACGCTCTTCGGCCAAAGATCGGTCGACTTGCGGTCCTCGAAGGCCCAAAGGTGCCCGCTGAGAGCCCAAAGAGGGGCCCTGACGGCCCAGGACGGCTCCAAGCGAGCCCCCAGCTGGCCCAGGAGGGTCTCTGGAGAAACCCAAGACGACCACAGAGGGCCGCTCGACCGCCCAAGACGGTCCCACTACGGCCCCAAATGAGCCCCCAGACGGCCAAGAGAATCCCAAGACGGCCCAAAAGAGCTCCAAGACGGCCCCAAGAGGGCACAAGAGACCCCAAGGTACCCGCAAGACTGCCCCACGGGTGCCGAAGGTACCCCGAGACGGCCAAAATAAGCCCTACGAGAGCTCCCTGCAAGAAGTCGAGACGAGAGGTATCACACGCGACGGCCTTCCGAGCGGTGATCGAAGAGTCGCCACACATGGTGCTTCACTGGCAAGGTGAAGGATTTGCCACAGGCAACTGCGTATGATACAATGCCTGCACTCTGGCCGCAAGAAGACTCTGCAAAGTGAACCCCAGGAGAACCATGACACTCCTGAGTGCGTTCCCCATCCTCATTTCTCTTCCCCCTTCTACGCACGATCGGATGCATGGCACCCTCCAGGAGACGAGTGAGGAAGCGCGTGGTGTAGAGCCGACCCTCCTCATTCTCTCTCCCTCTCTTGCTCACTCCCTCCTTCCCTCCCTCCTTTTCCTCCTCCTCCTCCTCCTCCTCCTCCCCCTCCTCATCCTCCTCCTCCTTTCTCCTCCTCCTCCTCCTCCTCCTTTCTCCTCCTCCTCCTCCTCCTCCTCCCCCTCCTCCTTCCCTCTCCTTACCCCTCCTCCTCCTCCTCCCTCCTCCTCCTCCTCCTCCTCCTCCTCCTCCTCCTCTCCTTCCCCCTCCTCCTCCCCTCCTTCCCCTCCTCCTCCTCCTCCTCCTCCTCCTCCTCCTCCTCCTCCTCCATAGCCGTCTGGGCTCGAGTGTTGCCACACACTCGCATTGCGGCGGGCCTGTCAGGCGGGCGCGGGAGAAGCACGGGCGCCCTCTTCGCGGAGAGGGCCGAGCGCGTGCACGCCGCACGCGAAGAGCGGATGGAGCACGTCGAGGGCGCCTTCGAGCAGACCTTCGCAGGCTCCCGCAAAGAGCACGAGAGCCGTCGATCGTCCACCACAGCCAACTCCAAACGAGGAGGCCACGACGCGCCAAATGCGTGTCGACAACTCTTCTGAAACAATAAGATGAGATCGAACAAATGCATGGGCGCAGCATGCCGAAAAATGCGGGCTGAGCGGCGTCAAAGGACCTTCGCAGGCCTGACGGTGGCGGCACGTGCTGCCAAGAGGCGCGGAATGCTGGACGCGCGCCTAGTCAAGGCAGCGGAGCGTCTTTAGGGGGAAAACAAGCCTACCTCGCCTTTGACCACCCTCGCTTCCAAGAGATACCAAACGATGCCAAATTGCAGCCTGTACTGGTCAGGCCGCTTGACGAGGAGGCGCGTGGTATGGCTTGGTTTTGTCTGGAAGCGAAAGCGGGGTAGGTAATTCACGCTCTGAGTCTTGACGTGACGTACCACGTCCTTCGGCACTTCACCAGCCGGCGCAGCAAGAAGCTCATCCAGGACATCTGCAGTCCCGCGGACTCCCCCAGGCGGAGCAGGGACATGGAGCAGCAGAGCGACGACAGCGACGTCGCCGAGAGCGCCCACAGGATCGAAGTCTTGATCTTCGGCAAACAGGGCAAGGAGAAGGAGGAGGACTACGCAGAGGTACAGTACGACGCCATGGATGAGTGCGGAGGCGAGCTCACAACGGACGAGAAGCTCATGGACCGCAAGGACATACTGCTGGCTGTGCGGGCCGACATCCTTGGCCTGGCGGGGCCGTCGTCGGCGCCAGTGGCCCAGGCCGACAGCGCCTCGCAGCCGTTCCTGCCGGTGCCGGCTTTCCCGTCGCTGGAGGAGCTGACGGTCGAGGGCCCCATACGAGCAGGAGTGCAAGCAGAGCGACTACGAGAACCAGCGCTCCCTGCCGAAGGAGCCTGCCGTGGCGGTGGAGAAGCTGGACGACTTCGACGAGGCGCTCGGGGAGGAGGTCGCGCAGGGCGGGGCTGAGGAGCTCGAGAGGGCTCCCCCGCGCTCCGACCTCGGCTCGGAGGGCGACCCGGAGTGGGAGGGCGAGGAGCAGCCCCGGGAGACGGAGAACGAGCAGCAGCGGTCGACGGAGAGCGCCGACGCCGAGAACAACGGAGAGGGCGGCGTCAAGCACAAGAGGGCGCTGCACGGCATGCTCGGGGTGCAGGGGCGCAAGAGGGCTGCCCTGCGCTTCGGCACTAGGCTCGGAGTGCGACTCGGAGACGGAGAGCGACGAGGAGCCCCGGGAGACGGAGAAGGTGGTGCCGCGGCTCGCGGCCAGGATTGACGCGAACGGCGACGGCGAGGGCAGCACCAAGGTCAAGCAGGTGCTGCACGGCACACACGAGACGGGCGACCCCGTCAATGACGAGACGGCCGAGGAACAGGAGTACTCCAGATTTCGTAATAAAAGGGAGGGGGTCTGGACCCTCCAAGACAAGCCATTTCAGACCTCCCCCGTGGGCGAACCCTCCAAAACATCGTCCCCAGACCCCCCCAGGCCCTCCAAGATAGCCTGGAAGAGAACCCCCCGAAATGTGACCCCCTCCCTTTATTACGAAATCTGGAGTACACGGAGGAAGACCTGCAGGAGATCCTCGCGGAGTCGCTCATTGAGGCGCGCGCGCGCCAGAGAGCGGCACCGTCACAGGCTGCTTGCACAGGGACCGTGTGCTGGTCACGCGTGGTGAGCCTCCGTCCTCGGCGCTGATGTTGTGCAGTGGCCCCCTGGCAGGGGCGGCGGAACGACGGCGTGGGTGGGAATGCGAGTGCACTCCCAGAGCAACTTCCGCGTGCCGTGCGTGGGGCGCGACACTCGATGTGGAGTGCGGGTGCAAGACCATTCCGACAATTCCTCGACGGCTGAGCGGGAGCCGTCGGTAATTAGCGTTTCGGCTTGATGAAGCTGGCGTTCGTCGTCACACGCCCTGGAGTCCCAGAGTCCTCCTCCTCCGTTTCCTGCCCGACGCAGGGGCCTGGAACCGCCTTCCCAGTGTCAGCGCCACCCCAGACGACGACGACGACGACGACGACGACGACGACGACGACGACGACGAAGACGACGGCGATGGCGGCGGCGGCGGCGGCGGCGACGCCGACGACGACGACGGCGACGACGACGACGACGACGACGACGACGACGACGACGACGACGACGACGACGGCGGCGGCGGCGGCGGCGGCCTCGGCGGCGGCGGCGGCGACGACGACGGCGGCGGCGGCGGCGGCGACGGCGACCCCCCGAGGGCGGCAGGGGCGCCGGCGTTCGCCCCAGGCGCCCGCGCCCCGCTCAGGCCCCCGAGGGTGAACATCGGCCGCCCGGCCGTGGTCGGCGCCGCCGGGGGCTGCCACGCGCCTCGGCGCGCAGGGCGTCGGCGGCACGGCGAGCAATGCTCGAGGTTCGAGCTTCGAGGCTCGAGGTTCGAGGCGCCTCGTCCTCGTTCTCGGCCTCTGGGGGCCGTTTTCGGGCCCGGGGGGTCCTCGAAACTCGATCTGGGGTGGAAAACCGCGTGGGATGGACCCCGGGAGGGGTCCAGGGACACATCTTGACCGATATTCGGCAGCGCGCCCGAAGGGGAAGTGAGAAGGCGAAGGCCTTCTCAGAAGGCGGCGGGACTTCTCACAGAAGCCCTGGCGCGTTCTGAAGGATTCTCTGTGCCTTCGGGGAAGGCTTAGAAAACTTCTCAAAGGGCTGTCGGACTTCCGAGCCTTCTGAGAAGGCCCACTCCTTCTCGCGTCCCTTTTCGCTTACCGCCGCGCTCGCCGCCGAACGGCCTGCGGGCCATCGGGTGACGAACAAACAACACACTCCCATACCCCTAGGGAGGACGGAGGGGGCTACTGGGTGCGTTTTGTGTCCAGTGGGGGTCCCCGCTCGAACGGGAGCCTCCCCCGCGGTCCGACAATCCGCACCCATATCCATAGCTAGTCCTCGTGCCTCCGTTGAGGCCTCCCAGATTATAGATGGGGTCGGAGGATCGTGCCGCATCGCCGAAGCATCGGCGATGCATCGGCGACGTCGGCGGTGCATCGGCGACGGCGACATGGAGAAAATCGGGCCCCGCATCGAGCTGCATCGCCGATGCATCAGCGATGCGGCGCGATCCTCCGACCCCATCTGGTCCGACCCCATTCAGGAGGCCTAGACTCCAATCCACCCTCTGGGTATGGGTGTGAGGAGGAGGATGAGGAGGATAAGGAGAGGGAGGAGGAGGAGGAGGAGGAGGAGGAGGAGGAGGAGGAGGAGGAGGAGGAGGAGGAGGAGGAGGAGGAGGAGGAGGAGGAGGAGGAGAGGAGGAGGAGGAGGAGGAGAGGAGAGGAGAGGAGGAGAGGAGGAGGAGGAGGAGGAGGAGGAGGAGGAGGAGGAGGAGGAGGAGGAGAGGGAGGAGGGAGGGAGGAGGAGGGAGGGAGGAGGAGGAGGAGGAGGAGTGTGCGTCGTTCGCTCGTCCTCGGAGGGCCCTCGGCGAGCCCTCGGCGGGCCGGGCGGCGAGCGGCCCGAGGCAGCGGCGCGGAGGGCGGCGGCGTCGTCGTCGATGTGTTCGGTCGGTCGGTCGGTCGGTCGGTCGTCGGAAGGAGGGAGGGAAGGGCGGAAAGTAGAGGGCCGGAGATCCACCCCGAATATAAGCACCCCGACAACGCAACCGTTTAGTAAACGCACCCGACGAAGAATCGAACAAGAAAGCGCTGTTTAGTAAACGCACGGGGCCGTTTAGCAAACGCCGATTATCGGGGTCGGGGTGGATTTTTCCTCGTTGAGGAAGGCGGGAAGGACGGCGGAAGGAAGAACGGACGGCGTTGGAATCCCGCCGCCGCCGCCGCCGCGGAGGGCGGCGGCGTCGTCGTCGACGTGTGCGTCGGTCGGTCGGTCGGTTGGTCGGTCCGTCGGGAGGAGGGAAGGACGGAAGGCGGGAAGGACGGACGGACGGAAGGAAGAACGGACGGACGGAAGGAAGGGAGGAGGAGCACAGAGGAGCCAGACTGGTCTGGACTGGAGCTATCGCGAAGCGAATTCACACGAATTCACAGGAAGAACGGTCGGTCGGTCGGTCCGTCGGAAGGAGGGAGGGAGGGAAGGACGGAAGGCGGGAAGGACGGACGGAAGGAAGAACGGACGGCGTTGGAATCCCGCCGCCGCCGCCGCCGCGGAGGGCGGCGGCGTCGTCGTCGACGTGTGCGTCGGTCGGTCGGTCGGTTGGTCGGTCCGTCGGGAGGAGGGAAGGACGGAAGGCGGGAAGGACGGACGGACGGAAGGAAGAACGGACGGACGGAAGGAAGGGAGGAGGAGCACAGAGGAGCCAGACTGGTCTGGACTGGAGCTATCGCGAAGCGAATCCACACGATCTGACCGCTACCCGAGCCTCTGTTCGAGGTGAAATGAGACGAAACAGCATTTAGGCCAGAGGCCTTTTATGAATCCTATCCAGGTAAGACTGCCTGGCTCCCGAAACAGACCCGGGAGGAGGCGGGGGAGGAGGAACAACATCGGGGGTCGAGGCTCGAGGCTCGAAGTCTCCGTGAGGCGCCCAGACGCTGCTGCTTATTAGTAACTCCTCCTCGTGGCATGTCTCAAGCGAGGGCGCCGGTTTGGGATTCGTCGGCGGATCCACCGGATCTGTCCGGAAACGGTGCCGGAGGCCGCTCTGGGCTCCTCTGCTCCCCGCGCCGGGAGTGAGGATGACGGTAGTTCCACAGAAACTCCCTCAAATCAGTAACTCCTCCTCGTGGCACCCCCCGACGTGGCCACGGGGGCGGTCAGCCGTCTGCGCCTGAGGCTCGTGGTGTCTGAGCAGGAGCGCGCGCAACAGTGTGGAGGCACCCCCCGACGTGGCCACGGGGGCGGTCCGCCGTCTGCGCCTGGGGCTCGTGGTGTCTGAGCAGGAGCGCGCGCAAGAGTGTGGAGCAGCTGCCCGGACGCAGGGCGGCCCATGTTCTACACGGGGGCCCTCGCTGGACCTCTCCCTGAGCTTTATGACCACATTTTACTATCCATATACACATATATATATATATACACATATATATAATATATAATATATATAATGCATACATATATATACATATATGTATATGTATATATATACATATGTGTGCACAAATCCTGTCTTTAAAATATCTATATACACATAAACATGTCAGAACATCTATATATATATGTGTACTAAAAAACCATCGCGCGCGCGATGGTTCTAGCAAGCCCCAGGCCTTGACGAGTTCACTGCTCCACTGAAGTAGTGGACCACAACCCACGCATGTCAATCCTCATTCTGGAATGCTTTCGGGGAAGATGGTTGCGTAGAGGGGCGGGGGCCGGATGAATCGGGTTCCCAGAAGGCCTTCTGGGAACATGGGGAGCCTGTTGGGGCGCGCCGTCGTCGTCGTAATGTCGTCGACGCTTCTTGGGGCGCGCCGTCGTCGTCGTCGTCGTCGTCGTCGTCGTCGTCGTCGTCGTCGTCGTCGTCGTCGTCGTCGTCGTCGCCGCCGTCGTCGTCGTCGTCGTCGTCGTCGTCGTCGTCGTCGTCGTCGTCGTCGTCGTCGGTTCAAGAGGGCACTTGGGGCAACTTCGTGCGAACCGATCTGCGGGGGGCCGCGAGAAGGCGATCAGTGATGTTCCCAATCAACTTCCCAAACAGCTCTCCGGTAGCGTGATGGTACTTCGGAGTCTCCAGAGACTCTCGGGCCCATGACGAACCATGTCCCTGGAAGGCTTTCTGGGGACATGATTTGTTGGAGTGTGTTGGGGGGCCTCTTGGGCGCTCCCTGGAAACCCTTGGGAACCTCCAGGAACTCTCGGGCCTATGATGAACCATGTCCCCAGAAGGCTTTCTGGGGACATGATTTCTTAGGGTGTGTTGGGGGGCATCTTGGGCGTTCCCTGGGAGCCGTCTTGAAGCGTCGGAAAAGTGACAAGGCGGCGGGGAAAAACAAAAAACACAATGGAACATCAACGATTTTGGCCCATCGGGGACCTGTTCTGAAGCTTCTTTGGGGCCTCTTGGGGCGTCTTGGGGGGTTCTTGGGCTGTCATGGGGCCATCTTGGACGTCTTCGGGACCTCTTGAGGCTTTCTTGGCCATCTTTAGGGCCCGACCGGCGTCCCCGACGGCGTCTTGGAGGCCTCTGGGAACTCTCCGGGAGGCCCGGCGCGCCCGTGGGGAGTCGAGGCAGCTGGCCGGGGGCCTCTGCAGAGGGCGCCTGGAGGCCCGGCGCGCCCATGGGGAGCCGAGGCAGCTGGCCGAAGGGCCCGATCCCTGTAGCCCGGTATATATATATATATATATATATATACACACACACCAGAACCATCGCGCGCGCTTCGCGCGCGCTCAAGTCCTAGCTAGGCTTGCTAGACTAACTCCTGTAATATCATTTTGGTCGCTTCTTGCGTCCAGGGACTCCCTTGGAGGCCCTGCGCAAGCCTCGGAATCGCATAGAAGGGGAAGTGCGGAAACGCAGAAATGATATATTCCTTTTGAGATACTCAACGATTTGGGGCCCTCAAAGGCTTCCTGGGTTCTTTCTGGGAGGGGAGGGGGGTCTGAATTGAACTTGAACAAAAAATGTAGGATTTCCATTTTTGTTCCAGTTCCTCGGCATTGTTCGGCGCTGTTTGTGCCTCGCGGGTTTTGTTAGCTGGGCCCCTCAGGGGTGTGGGATCTTCCAGACCCCCTGGGGGTTCTGGAGGCCTCCTGGAGGCCTGAAGAGCCGTCGGAAGGGTGTCTCGGGCTGCGCGGGAGCGTGTTGGGCCGTTCTTTACGTTCTGGGGGCTCCTTGGGGTCGTCTTGAGCTGTCCTTGGGCGTCTTGGGGGCCCCCCGGGAAACCGGGAGGCGCAGTACTGGCCAGATGTCAAGGGATGTGTAGGATCTCCCGAGTAGCAGTCATACTTTGAAACAAAAAACTTGACATTCCTTTGTTTCCAAAATCCTCGATCTTCGAGAGTTGGAAGCGGGAAAACGTGAGAAGGCGAAAAACATTAGAAGAACAGTGGAAATCAACGATTTTACCCTCTTTGGACTCTCTCGGAACGGCTCCCGCAGCTCTCTTGGGCTACTCTTGGAGCCTCGTCGTGGTCTTTTTGGGGCCTCTCAGGGATCGGGGGTGTGTTGGGGGCCTCTGGGTGGTCCCAGAGGCCTCTGGGAGGTCTCTGGAAGCCTCCTGCTCCCGCTAGTGGGCCCATCTTGGGCCTGTTCTGGGGTGGTATGGGGCTATCCTGGGCGCCTCTTCGGCAGTCTTGGAGCCTTCTTGGCGCTTGGCCCGTCTTGGGGCCGTCCTAAGGGTCTCTTGCGTGGTCGTGGGGCGGTCTTGGGAGCCTCTTCGGCGAAGCTCAGAAACGCGAGAACCCAAAAACATGTTGAAAAA